GCTGGCCTCTGGGTGTGCCCCGCCCCTGAGAGCGCTGACCTGCCGGGAGGGCACTCACCCTACCTCGGGGCCCTCCCTCACGATGTCATGGAAACACTCATGTACCCAAGACCCCGCTCCAAATGCACCCCACTTGGCCAGAACTGCCAGTGTGAGTTGGGGTGGTCAGGGCTCTCTGTAAACATTCCCTTGGCCCAGAAGGCTGGCACTGTGGACCTGCCCCACTGTTTATTGGCTCCTTCTTTTTTAAGAATTATTTATTCATTCAGTTCCTTTTGTTCCTCCCCTGGAGGAAAGCTCGTCCAGATAACAAATACTCAGGTGAATAAACCGACCAGCTGACCGTGTGGGCGTGGTTACGGAGTGTCTGTGCTGGGTTTGGATAAACTCCGAGGGGACAGTCAGTCCTGGTGAGTTTGTGCCAGGAGGGAATGGCTGACCTGCCCTGAGGGTCTGCGGGGTCAGGCACTGTCTGGGTGCCTCATCCTCACTTTCTTGATCCTCACAGCAGCTCGGAGCCCCCACTGTGTGACTCAGTTAGGGGAAGGAGAACTGGGTGTCACTGCTCAGCCCTCCTCCCTGGGGGGAAACTGCCGCTCAGTGGGAACCAGCTGTCGCTCTGGGAGCTACTGGAGAGCAAGGTTGGGAGATGGTGTGTTTGACTAGAAAGAGACAGAGAAAGAAAGGGAAAGCGAGATAGCAAGTCACTAAGTCAGGGACTCGAACCACGGTCAGCCATGTGGGAGTCCAGCGCCTTAACCTCACTGCCACCTGCCTGCTCTCTCCTTTATGAACTTCTAAATTTCCTAAATGGACCTTCTCCCAAAGCACATGGTGAATCCTTGCAAGCTGTCACCCCACCTCGTGATGTGTTACGGGAACAGTCAGGCCCAGGCCAGCCAGTGGCCTGGCGGATAAAGCAGCTGGATCCCACATGGCTAACTGCTTAGTTCATGTCCTGGACCTGGCAATTTGGAAACATGCCAGGCCCATGTTCATGTGTGCCCCAAACTTGCCAGAGCAGAATGGGTGAGAAGGGTCGTGGCGTGCCATTCCCCTCAGGGGTGCTGTCTTGTTTGCCTCCTCTCTCCCTCTCTGTGTCTCCCCAGTGAGCCCAGATGCCGTCCAGTAACACTATAGCAAGAAACACCCCCGCCCTGGACAGGCAGCTCTAGAGCTGGCAAGCAACGTGCTTCCCTTTCCTCCAGCTTCTGGGAACGGCTTCCCTACAGCCCACGCTGTCCTTTCCCAGGCGTCCTGTCACCTTGCCTACGCCCGCCTGAACCCTCGGCGACCACCTCTGTCCCTCCGCTCTCCGCCTGCCTTCTGCCCTGTAAACCCTCAAGCCTGAAGTGTGGCCAACCCGGGGCGTACGTTGTCCTGGCTCCTCGGGCCTGTGCCGCGGGGCCGCAGTCACAGGGCCGGATAAAGTCCTTCCGTTTTACTCAACTGCGTGCCCTGTATTTTAGGGTCACGACGGCACGAATCTGGGGAGGACACCGTGAGGTT